ATCCGACAAAATAATGCAGCTGGTTTGTCCATGTTAGTCCTCGTCCGCCGTACATGTTATTTCATCCAGACGACCACCGAAGTCGAGTGGTGGTGACAGGATTCCAATCTCACATTTTGGGACACGAAGCACACCGGTGACTGAATTTAACAGTTTATGCTGCTAAGTCCTCTCTTTGAGAATGAGTGAGACGTTGTTGTCATGCAATATAATGCACGCCTATCATGTAACAATTATAAAAGTAAATTATTGAGTCAAACTTTCTCGGAATTCCGGGTATGGCATTATTTTGATTCAAATGCTGTCAGTCGTTCACAGTTAAAACTCTTTTGTATCGTTGCAGGTTCGCCAAAGGTTTATAGAGCACGGGATTCATCTGGTTCTCACTCTCGGTCTTTGGACTCAATCTGCCCAGTACCAAAAACTTTAACGTTGAAAGTTGGAGCTCAGGTCAGTTGGGATATTCTTTCTTGCTTCCTAATGTTTACATACATGTGAACGCGCGAGTTCTTATTCGATGTCCTAACCTTCTCCGAAATTGTACACGTAGCGTACATGATGAAATGGAAATGTGATAGTCTTGAAACGTAATTAACGAGAATCAGCATTTCGACAGATGCTCGAACCTTTCGGGTGTATTGCCGGATAATGTATTTCAAAATAATGGCATTTAAAAGCAGCTTTTTGTCTTGATAAATGGCTCTCGGTCACACAAGTCTCATTAAACTGCCTGGTTGGCGATCTCTTGACGACCCTAATAAATGGTTAGAAACACTAAGTGTCGCGTTTACTTAGTTTCTAACCAGACCCTTGTAACTTGCAATCTCTGTAATTGATTTTGATGTTGCTTTTGGCTTTGAACTCTTCCAAATGGGTAACCGAGAGGTAGCAGCCAGAACCCCTGAATTATATACTAAAGTTATCGGTTGTGAAAATAAGGCCAAACTAACTCTGGTACAGTTAACGACCGCCTGATGGGCGGGGTGCCGCAGCACGACGAACCCATTTTCGTTGAAAGAAGTCTGCATGAGCGGTTTTGCTTCAATAAAATGTGATTCTGTTTTTCACTCGGATAGGTCGTTCTTATGCGGAACATTGACACCGGTAGAGGCCTAGTTAATGGAGCCCGGGGTGTAGTGGAACGCCTTACTGTGGACGACGGTTTACCACAAGTAAGGTTTTTTGTTCAACGATCGACGGAACCAGGTGCCAAATCACGAGGCTTGTTACACACCGTACAGCTGGAGCGATGGAATTTACGCGGCGAGAGTGGTCAGGTCGTGGCGTATCGGCGTCAGTTACCGCTCAATTTGGCATGGGCCATTTCCATTCACAAAAGTCAAGGCATCACTCTGGACAAGGCTGAGTTGGCCCTTTCGAAGGTTGGTTCTAGTGTCGGTTTTCATAAATTTCCCTTTACTGACCCATACTAGCTACTCTCGACTGCCAATTAGGGAAACTGCTTTTATCCAGATCAATACGTTCCGACTATACACTGTTCCGCACTAATGTTGTTAAGTCACGACGACAATCACTATTCACACAACGTCAAACTATCGAATGTAGATCATTTTCTATAAATTAGTTCATATTTATTCGTACCAGGAAGATTTCCAAAGCTATAAAGAACATGTAATGCATGTCGATCATTAACGCTCCAAATATGCATTAGATTTCAATTCTAGAAGTACCTCCTGCAGTTGATTGAAAAGTGAGTCCATACACGTCGACTACCCGTTGACCTTTCCGTCGCATTTTCACCCCTCATGTGGGTCCGGAGTATCGTTTTTGTCTTTATGTACAATGTACCTTCATAGAAAACTTCGTCCGGATATCAGTCCTTCCGACCTTTAGAACCAAAGTCGATTTTTTGTGATAAGCGCCAACGAACTGTTTCCCTGCCCCATAGAGTTTTAAACACAGGTGAGTGAATTTCCCGACCAAAGAGAGGTGTTGAGTTTCGCGCATGAGGAATACCCCACGATTTCAATACTTCTGTACCTCCATACAGGTCTGTGATGCGTTATGTCTGCTTGGAAAGACGAACTGTAAACGCATAGACAATGCGAGATAATAGGAGATTCGAAGTGATGATTATGCGGACACCGGCATTTCAGTTGATATTTTTGTAGCACTAACTTTTGCTGGATGCTGGACGACGACGTTAGCAGCAGACAACGTGAACTGTTGGAGTTCTGTTGTATTCGATACACCAGAATCAAGTTTAATAGGATTAAATGAGTAAAGCGTAGCCTCAGTGAAGGCGGTTTTGCCTCATAGTTACTCAAATGATTTACTATCTTGGTGATCGTTCATTGCGTTCCGAACCCTGTCGTCGCGTTGTAGGTATGGACTTCGAGCTAGAATGGCGTACTCAATTTCTGATCTAATGCTCATGTACTGAGTTCGATTGTGCACTCTGTGTGTTGACCACAGTGGTTCACCTTCTCCCTGCCTGCCCACCTTAACTTTTACCACTAATGTTGTATGCATTGCGAGTTTGGCAGCGATCGGTGGAGTTCGCTTCACTGTGTTTCGGTGTGCGATGATGATGATGCATTGATAACAAACATGAAAACAACCTCGGCTCCAGTCTGTTAAAGACATGCTACAAACGACATCCTGGAACACTTAATAAAACAGATTAGACCAGTGACAATATCGGAATCATTCTTATTCGAAGCAATTATTGATTTCCGAGGAAGTACGGAAACCGATTTTTATGATTCATCGACTTCAATATCACACTCCAGGTACCATTGATGGAAAGGAGGTGCTATTCAATAGTAGTATTGTTGGTGGTTGTGAAGTCACTGATTTGGCCAAATTATGTAACTTCACGCTTAATAAGGACGTGCATGATGCTCAATGTCAGAATATGATGCACGGTTTCCAACATTACCTCGTTCGCTGAGTCTCTGGACAGAGGCGATCGGTAGACCGCACCATTAAACCAATATTGTGCTTCAATAGTTGCGCTTTGCATCCTAATGAGTTAGAGGCGGCAGCAGGGTAATCACTTATCTCGCGTTGTGACCTACCACTAGAACAGATTTGCACCCCCTCGTAGAGCCTTTGCCCCCTAAAATCATCAGACAGAGTGAGTGCAGTTCTAAAGACAAAATGTCGGTAGTCAGTTATGTTTTCATAACCGTAATCACCGTCATCATCGTGCAGCGAGAAACAAGGAAGTGAACTTCGCTGGTCGCTGTCAGGCTCTCAGTGCACACTAGTTAAGTGGGAAAGTACAAGATGGATAAGGGTTGGGCCTAACTAGAGGGAAGCAAAGAGAGTGAACCTCTGTGGTCGCGTGCACAGAGCACAACCTAGCTGTGAAATAATTTTCCATTGATTGGTAAAACGGTTTGATCGCTGGTATTTGGTTCATCATCCTCATCATCGTAGAGCGAGATGGAGTGCAGCGAACTTCACTNCTGATCGCTGCCGAACTCACAATGCATACGAGATTAGTGATAAAATTTAGGGTAGACAGGGATTGGACCTACTTTGAGGGAGGGAGAAGAAGGTGAAGCACTGTGGTCAATATACAGAGTGCACAATCGGACTCTGCCTACATACCGTTTCAAGCGTTCTGGACTGATAAGAAGTGACAAGAACGCCACTGCTGTCGGCTCGCTGCCATATCCTTCAATGTCTCCAACCAACCGGTTGGGGAGCGAAGTAGAGGCCTATTTACTTGGATCAATTACTCCTCTACCATTTTACCGACTGAGACGCTAATTCGAGTCGAACCCCCAACCTGAAGGACCATGAGACTGGACTTTGTCTGAACTCTACCCATTGACCTTCCAGGCATGATTAGGTCTTTTGCTCGATGAAAACCATCCTGTGTAGCTCAGTAGTGGATAATAATTCCTCGTACTTCTGTGTTATTCATTTGGAATTTTCACGCACTGTGTACACAAACAAAGGCGTTGTGACAGTGTGCCTAAGCGTGGAATCTGTGTGACCGAAGTTTTGGAGCACAGCAGGAAAATAATTCTGGCACCATGTGCATCATATTCTTATTTTAACGTCTCTCCCACAACTGATGAGACCAGTTTCAGTTTATACAACCATTAACCATCCAGTTTCGTGCGCCGGTTTTGGTTGCTGTCTTTCAGCTGCCAATTTGGATGAACAGTAGGGGAAAGACAGGAAGGTTGAAAGTAGAATGAAAGAGTAAATTTATAATTTTATTGCACTAACTTTCCAGAGAAATTGACAAAATGCACGAACGCCACTGTTTACGAATCCCAGCTATATCACTCAGTGTCTCTAACCATTGATTACGCTGATCCCGAGGGGGAGCCTAACAGAACCTATGTCATCCAGATTCCTGTTTAGGGTTTCCGTACCCTCGTGCCAGGCCTTAGTTTGATCATCCTTGGCTTTATTCCACCCACTACCCACATCGATGAACATCGCTCGTCTGGGTAACCTATTTGGTTACATGCGTACCACATGCCCCAACCAACGTAACCTATGGGGGTCGACCACTTGCTCTAGTTGGTGACCACAGTTGACTGAAGCACTACGCCTAACTTCAGCATTGGTCGTCCGGATGCTCCACCTGATCTTTGCAATGCTTCGGAGACAGCGGTGTTCAAACACCGACCTGCCTTCTTAATGGCCAAGTTTCTGCACCGTATAGCAGAACTGCGGCGGCTTATACTCTAGTTCAGACAGTCTGCCACCCAGGAGTAAATGGATGCCGCTATACACAAACGAGGATAGGGCTGTCTCAAGAATTAGATCTATCACGAAGTTAAATGGAGAGGGCGACTCTGTCAGATACCACTTTCTGTAGTGAACTCGGGTGAAAAAGTGCAGTAAGATCGGACTCGGCTGTGGCTATTATTGTAGAGGGTTTATAATATTGAAATAAACATCTCGGGCACACCCTTCAGGGAACGGCAGCGTCAGAGATTATAGCGGTCGACTGAGTCGAAAGTCGCTTTCAGATCGATGAAGACAAACGGTAGTTCTATGTCGGTGCTCCAGAATTTGGCGAAGAGTGAAGATGTGGTCGATTCAACCGCGACCAGGTCTGAAACCAGCCTGGTTCTCACGCGTGACAGAGTATGATGCCATCGAGAAGTTTAGGTGCAATGTTGATTAAAGTAATTCCTCTGTGGACCTGTCACCTTTCTTGTAAATCGGTATGATGACCGATTCACACCCTCCAGTTGGAACCTTTTCCCTCTCCCACGCTGAGCCCGAGTTTTGTTCACTCCGTAACCAAGGCTGAAACTTCATCCTTAAAAGCCGAATGGTGTAGCCCGTCGGGACCGGAATCCTTGCATCTTTTGAGACCATTTACTTTTCGGGGAACCTACATTTAGATGGAGGACTGGCATGAATGGGGATTATTTCCCCAGTCGAGGTGGGGGTGATAGTTCAGATGTCGATGGGGGCCAGTTGAACTGAGCCTCGAAATGTTCAGCCCATCGATCAGGACGGCGTTGCTGATGGTGAATCTCTGTGCCATCAGATTCCTCAGTTACCTCACTTACGTCTGTTTTCCTGGGGCCCGTATTCCGAATTAGACGGAGAAGACTGCGACTATTACCAAATAGTCGCAGCTTTCTCTCTCTTTGCTATCCGCCGGTTCTCGCGATCATTGTTCATACTCTTGATGAGCTGAGGGATTTGGGCGCTGTCATATGTGACATCAAGAGGGAGGATTCTGCTGGCGTCCACCAGGGCAGCCGAGATCCGTCGTTTGTATCTTGGGCCTTCGCTAAGGTTCGTCATTCTTTTTATCGGTATTTGCATAGCTTAACTGATTTGCTCCTAGTGTTCATTGAGTCCTTCCGCTGGTGGTCGAACTGACAGGCGATCAAGAAGTTCCGCTTCGAACGCCGATTTGCAGCTATCGCGGACGTTGTATCGTGAGTTACCGTTGGCGTGGCTCAGTGCAAAATTGCAGGTTTTATTGGACCACCTGCGTTGAGTTTGACCACGCATTAGTTCTGATGCAGTTCACTCTCTGACTGACTGGTCGGCGACAAAACCAGCAA